TTCAAGCCTTACATGTAAGTGCAAACTACCGCTGCGAACATTTACCTGAGCAGTCGGAATTGCCGGCCGAACCAAGCAGTCACAAACGAACTACGGTTGGAAGACAAGCCCATACCCTGAGGCCACGTTTTGCTGGACGCCCGTTATTTGCACAAGGCTGCTGCCTGCTTTTTGTAAGCTTTGGTCACGTACGTTGACGCACCGTGTAGATAGTGTCTTGCCCCGCATGAGAACACATGGAAAAGTGACGGAGTCTTACATCGTGCTTTCTTGGCCTCAAGTACAGATGTTGAAAACTTAGCCTCTCAGCATCCGCTGACGTCTGACCGGCTTTTGAGTGGCCCATCACCCAACACGAGCTGAAGAAGCCATTTCAAGGTTTCGTATCTGCACATGGCTACTGCGACAAAGTCCTCTGACAAGTCCCTTCGGCCGCAGCGTGACTGCCAACTCATATCTGGAGGTAAAGAGGCATCGGACCAGGAAGTCTTGGAAGCTGTGGATTCAGAACGCATTAAAGATGTGCACATGATGCCACATGTGGGCCATAGAGCGTCCATTACACGCAGAATGACCAGGACGTACGTCGTGTGAGAATCTGGATTCTAGATGCACCTTCAGACCTCAATCCTGCTAGGAGCATCACTATCCAATTCACCCCATGTGATCCATGTTGGAGAGCAAATGGGGTATTTTCGCAGTCTTGGAACAAAAGAACATAAAGGAACCACAAAGAGAGGAAAACTGCGAGACCAACTTTAGTAATTTCTGGAATCCTCCCCTGCTCGCAAGTCTAAGTAAGAGCACGAATAGAGTTTAAGACAAGCACAAAGGAGCGGAACCGGTTTCAAAAAACAATGCGTTATACCAGGCATCTTGAACCCTGTATCAAGACTATCCAAGTCCCGTTGGCTCTGAAAGCCGTACAGTTGACCAGCCTAAGTAAGGACTAAGTAAGGTCCAAAGACTTTCGACATAATTACCGTAAGCCCCGTCCGTATCTGCTTGAGAAGCAGACCTCTGCATGGGATCTTCCAACATCCTGGCATCGCCACGTGGGGGACATGTCGCCCAAAAAGGAATACCCAACCTCTAGCATGGGCATGTGGCAAGACGTCTTTGGATGGTTTGAGGATGGATGTCTGGATTGCGTGAAGTGAGGCTGCGTCTTGCAAAGCAGCTCATCGGCTTATGCCACAAGTCGGTTCAAGGCGAAGATGTGGAAGAGCAGGTCAAGCTAGGGGGGGGAAAGCAGAAATCATGCACTGGGCGCATTCCCACAGCTGAGCTACTGGACCGCCTTTTCTTGTCCCACACAGCAGCGCTCGAGGATGTGCCGAGCCCATGCCGGCGGAAAAAGGTTGTCCACCTGCACAGTGCCTGGCACGTGCCGAGAGTGTGGCTCTTGCCTGCAGAGTCGTCGGCAATATGCTTTGCTCACAGGTGATCGATGTCAGCCTTTGAAGGCCTGCCTGTTGTCATGCATAGATCTGTGCATGGCACTGCAAGTGCAGGAGCTGAAGGTTGCTGGACGGACTCCAAATATAATTCATACGTGAAGTCGCTGCAGTACCTTTAATTGGGTTGAAATCTGGGACGACCGCAGAAGCTGTCCTTTTCCCCAAAACCCCAAAACCGCTCTTTTTAGTCTTTTCTCAAAGATGCGAGATCCGGCCGTGTGGGGGGTTGGGATGAAGGGCAACGGGGAGGCGAGTGAGATTCAGTGAGATCGAGTGCCTGGTCAACGGGTGGAGCGGAGCATGAATGGCAGGCACCTGAGATCCACAGGACGGCCGGTCAACGATGGGTGGGGTTGGTGATGCAGGGCAGGAACAGGGGAGGTGAGATCGAGATGGGTGGCCAACGGGCGGCGGAACGTGGGGAACACAGGGAGGCGGGCGCCGTTTTCTTGAGTTTTCGGGTTCCGGGCCCGCATGAGCACCCATTGTGAAAATGAGTACGAGGCGGCGCTTCCTTGCTTGACCTGGCCAACTGGCTCACGCAGTTTCCGGATGGTTTCACGCCACTTCTTAGCAGTCATCAAAAGTTTCTGACAGGCACTGGCGCTGAAGCATGCGAATCGAAATCACACAGCAACTTTTGCCCCAACCATGCACGAGCAAAAGGCAAAGAGGCAAGAAGCGTTTGGTCTTGGCTGTGAAAACCATGGGCTCTTCCACAGAAGCAGATTGGCGGCTTATACTACTGTAGGACATGAAGACAGAGGGAGCACAAAGCCGGCGGGGGAGACAAAGAACACGCTGGCGGAATCAACATATTACTCAGATTTACACAGTTAACAGCCACGTGATTGATGGGCATGTCTAGTGCAGGATTGGGTGGCAAACACTGACCAGGAAGCTCGGGCCCGGGTCTTAGGCAGCAAGGCCTGCAACGATATTGAACAACCTGTGCTGACATAGTGGCGAGGCGGCTGTCTTCGCGACTCTTTGCCCAGGAGAAGGTGCCTTCCCTTAGTTCACCTCCGTGCAAACATGTGCAAACAGCCCTTGCATCCACGCGACATTGCAAAAGCACTTGCGCGCACATGACCACCCACACACACACACACACACACACACACACACACACACACACACACACACACACACACACACACACACACACACACACACACACACACACACCCGCGCGCGCGCGCGCGCGCGCGCGCGCGTGAGTTTTACATGTGCTTTCTACATTTGCGCTTTTACATGCAGTGGGAGAGATCGACAACTCACAGTAACATTCTGAGATCCAGGCGAGGCCATAGACCTACCAGACTTCCTCAGCCGGACCCCCGGAACGGAAAAAAACAACTTCAGCCTGGATCCGATTCTTTGCAACACCTTCGCAGG